CTTCATCGTTTATCCTTGTCTTCTTTTTGATTTTCATTTATTTTAATGGCGCAATTTCTGACGAGCTCCTGTTTTTCGCATTTACGTACACCTGCCCGCGAATCGCCCGTAATACGCTGCGTATTGATCCGTCGAGGTAGAGGGAGTGGTGGTTACGGATGCTGCGAATCGAAGACGAGGGAGTGAACGGGAGAAAGCGAGTCGACGCGCCACTCCCTTTTGACTCTTTCTTATTTTTCTATAGCATCCTTTAAGTCTGTCTTCGCGCGTGGCTCTCTACGGTATGCCTTCTCGCAGCGGATATACATTTGTTTGTTATTGGAAATATCGAATGAGACATATGGGAGTTTTAGAATTAGGTATAAGTAGGAATGCGAAGTCAGGCTGGGTTCAGGCAAATATTTCATTAAACGTGTAAATTTGAATAAAAAATTTGCAAAAATTTCTTTCTCGTCTTACGAAATTGTATATGGACACCGTTTCTCTGCCCTTGCCGTTTCTATATAAATCATGAGGTTTCCAGGCACCGATAGGTAGGTAGGTAAATTCAATTTCGTTGAAATAACGAAATAATCAATTGACGCGCAAAAACGATAATTGGCATTGATTTAATTTCGCGATTAAGGGGAAATATTTTTTTTGTTTAATTTTTAAGCCGATCCTTCAGCTTTTCTTTAGTCTTTCTTTTCAATCTCCTCTTCTTTCACGATTAGCTCATCCGTGAATCTATGCCGATTCATTCTGTACAGCAATTCCTCGTAATCGCTGACGGTGTGTCCGAGGAGGAATATATGGGCTTATCGTTGGTATTAATTACAGTGAATTCTGAGACCCCGACTTAAGCCCAAGGGTAGGTCATAGGTTGCGAATTACGATAATCAGGGCCGAGCCTATGAATTTTGAGTCTCGATTTATCAAAGAGGGGATATGAATACGAGAGATAAATTCAAAAGGAGAACCACAGTGTCATTAAATATTGGTAATATTATTCGCTGGGTATGGTGATTTTTTGTTGGGGGGAGAAGGCAAAAAGAATTGCTTATCAGTTTTTTTTTTTTTTTTATTTTCTTTGCCATCTCAGGAAAGAATAAAATTCTTTTGGCTTAACGTCTGAATGACATTCATCATTCGGTTCATTGATTCTGTGGCGGAATATTTATATAGCCATCCAATACATCTCACGGATATCTTTCATTCTCTTAGAAAGAAATAAGAAAGAAATATTTCAATAATTTTACAGCGAGCAGCATGGCCCAGTTGAGGGAACACATAAGAATTCAAATCGTATTGAATGAATAGCTGAAGAATAATTGACACCTTACGTGAAATAAAAATATGTTAAACTTTTTACTACGATCTGACATCGGTACGGTGTTTTCTATGTTTGTTGACTGATAACGAGAGAAAAGTTTTTTTTTCTTTTTTTTTTTTCTTCTACCTAAAAACGAATACCGACTTTTCATGCAATCAGTTTCCAGGGCGACTCATGTTTAAGATTTTAGCTTAGAGTCGAAGTTCAAGATACTTGTAAGAAAGGAATATTACTTCGATAGCAAAGTTATACTTTGCTAAAGCACTATAAGTCTACTCTCGATATTTTAGTATTCTAATAAAAATGGTAGTTCGATTTCTTGATTGAATTCCTTCATTCAAACAAAGTCGAATGCAGCACTAAGTATTGCACGTTGGGTCAGTGGAATCGTGTAATCGGATTAAATCAATGTAATCGCAACTTTGATTTTATCAAAGGCTATTGGCCAGGACGGTTCACTCTCGTGTCACAGAAACTTATTTAGAACCATGTTAACTATTAAAAGCTCGTTATTCTATCATTTAGAAGTCAATGAAGTTAGTCGGACAGATTAATTGATGGGTCAACAAGATTGAGGAGATTTAGCTCTATTGTATCATACGAGATTGAAGAAAGGATAAAACTTACTCCAGACTGAAAACTTTTTAATGACACTTATTCTCAAGTGCGATTTTATTTTCTGAAGCAGAGACCGGGTCAGAGTTAAAACTCAATATACCGTGAAGTGAAAGTAAATAATTCTTACCTCAGATCCGACGTAAGGGTTGGAAAACAAAAATGAGAAAAATTCGAAATTTTTTCTTTCACCTCGCAAATTTGCCTTTTCCTTTATATTGTCGTAAATTCTTGCAGGTATTTTATTAACTTTATGACTGTCCGTTTTCGCATTTTAGAAGACCAGACGTAATTCGTGCTATTATCATATTTTTGTTTTTCTAAAAGATTATTATGCTAGTTCACGAGATGAAGTTTTATCGGCTTAGTGAATCCTGACAGTTTTCGGAATTTCAATGCATGAATGTAATTAAGCTTTCATTTAACGTCGAACATTATCCAATTGTAAGAAACGTTCACGAGCTCTGTGGTTAATAATACTATAACCCATGACCTATAATTGTCGTTGTGTCTCGTTTAGTAAAATTGTCTAGACTTTAGATTTCAAAGCACTCGATTTTTTTGGATAATAAAAAATAATGTGCGATTATAACTGTTGCAGAAGACTGTATCGCTAATGCAATATTCCTACAGTTTACGTTATCGTGTGAACTAAATATAGTTTTTCAATAATTGTCACAGAAACATTAGTCTTCAGATATCAGTCACAACCTGGCTGTCAGTGGCCTTTAGGATTTATTTATTTAAAAAAAAAAAAAAAAAGAAAACTAATAAAATTAAACAAGATAAGATATCAGAGATTTAAAATTAATATCAGAATAGCATAATATATTCTCTAATAGACGTACAAGATGTATTATCAAAATTGTTGAATATAATAATATAGATAGCACTAGCGCATCGCGAAGCAAGAATTAATTGTAGATACGTCCAAGTTACTTTTTGACTTACAAGTCTGAAGCGGCTCTCGATAATTTTGCGGTCTTCTCTTTCCGGCCATACGTGTTTGGATATCGGAGCACTATTACGACAGCAGTTATACTGTGTAGTATACACATGTATACTAATGACCGATACAGTGCATTTCGCTCTGGAGACGGAAAGCGCTGTTAAAAAGAAAAATACACCAGACATGAATTCTTTACGGTTAGCAACTAACTTGTCTTGGAGTTCCTCTTGGATCGAGTGAAAAATCCTTTTCGGATAAATGGTAATTTACTGTTTATGTAATTTACTGTGTGACTATGAATGACAAAACTCTGTTAGCTGCCAGTCACAATGGGAATCGATTCACGTCTAAGGTAAGGGAAGGCTTCTTTATTGTGCAAATTGAAACTTAAATCAGCTAAGACAGTATCAATTGATATTGTACTGCTATATTGTACCTTGAAGTGCTATTACTTGTTCTTTTCAATCGAATACTGGCATAATTATACTTTCATTTTCTCCTAGGGTAGCGGCGTATTTGATTGAAAACCTTGTCTGACCAACCAATTTTTTTATTGTGTCGAGCATTCCATTCGAACACGTTATACGACATATGGAGTGCGGGAGTAAACGTTTGAATTTGGCGCGCTATAAGAAAATGAGAAAGATGCATTTATGGTCACGAGAAGAAACAGTTGGCTGATTTTAATGGCAACTAGGTCTTGTTAATTTTTTTCAATCACTTTGGAGCATATGAAACATTTTATTAAACTTGATGATCCATTTGTACGAAACGAAGTGGTTGCTGTGTAATTTTCACTGAAATATTCTACAACTTTGATAAATATATTTAATAAATCAATCAATCGCGACTTACTTCTTTTTCGCCTGCTAATATTCTTAGCTTTTTCGCATTCTAGTAATAAAGTCATATGTTATATTGCTATTGGCTTATTAAGGTGCATCGAATTTTATCATCCGTTACTATACCCGGACAGCAGGAGGATGGAAATTCTTATCGTAAAATTGTCATGTAGAAGCATATAGAATTATTCGCCAAATGTTGGTGTACTTCAAACATTTTTAGCTGTACCGTATGAAATATTTGCTACTGGGACGCATGAGAATGACAATAAAAAAATATGTAGTATGTACGACCTTTTTGTTATATAGACGTAGAAGTCTTCGGTACTATTGTTATTATGGACAAAGAAAGCTGAGCTTTCCATTAAGTAATCTAGGACTAGCTCACTGTTAGTTACCAACAATCAGTGTTGCGCGTGTACGTAGGTTCCATAATGCAATATTTTTGTGAACTGTTAAAAGTTGTCTGCAATCATTCGACTTGCAGATCGCTATGAAGCACAGCGAAATTTTCGTTCTCCGGAAGAAATTGCGATAGCAACTCATTGTCTTACTGAAAAAAAAACCCATTGCTAGTAAATAATTGATTTCCAGTATTTATCGACACGTAATTCCTACTTTTAGCGAGCCTAACCTTTGCTATCATTTAAATACATTTTTTATTTCTAGAATACTTTTTATCATATTTTACCGCAAGCGTTCTTGCGGGATTAACGAAATTAATTATTCTGTATTTTTTATATTGTTCGTTCGTCTGATTCACGTTCGTCGTAATCGTGCCATTTAACGTGAGGCGTAAATGCGTTAAGTGCGATATGGCAAGAACTACCGGAAAAGAGTGGCTGGCTTAACTTATAAGAAGCGCGACGATTGGGGCCGTCGGTAAAAGCAGCTCCGTCGATTAAGTCAGTCGCGTTCGAACCAACCGCCGCTTGTTGAAAACAGCTGCTACTCGAGAAGTAAGGAATAGCGCGCATAGACCGACGGGAAGTTAGCGCGGGAAAATAAAAATTTATATTTTTATAATGCCTAAAAAATTTCTCCTCAAATGCTCCTTATGTTTTTCTAATTGCCCCACTACTACTATGTAATAATTAATAATTATTCATTAGAACAGAAACATATTTTTTTAAATTGAAATTTCAAACAACCAATGAGATTTTCATATGATTTTCTTGATGAATAAATTGCTCTCGATTTGCTCAATATTGCTCCGCAATTAGTTTTTTTAAAATTTTATTAAAGGATCTTTAAGTAACAAGTAAAATTTGATTTTCTCTTGGCTCGATTGCAAAAGTCAGCAATATGGTTGGTTTGCGAACACACCTACGATAGCTGCGTTCGAAGATGAGCCGAGAGTGCTGCGAACATCGTTGCCTCGGTTCATTTTCGAACACACTTGTGACAGGTACGTTCCAATGTCTACGTTTCCAAGCTCAAAATTTAGAGGAAATCAATAAATCGCTCAACGTTTGAAAAGACGAACGTGATTCGTCGATCTCACTTAAATCCTTTTAGGCATGGCTTTTACAAACGACTAACCAATCACGTGTAAGTTTATCCTGTTGAACCCGTATTTGTAAATTTAGTAATTAATTACATTAACACGACGGTCTCATGCCTTTTTAGTTAGTCTGATAGTACGGATAGTCTTAAACCGGTTTAGTTAATAATGATCTAAAGGAAATGACATATCACGAACGTTTCTATTTGCAAGGAATATTTGGGATTGGTCAATTCCTTTAGATCTGTATTAACTAAATCGGTTCAAGACCGCCGTGTAAACGTAGTCAGTGACTAAACACAGGCATTTCCACTTTCAAGAACTATTTTGGATTTATCAGTTCCTTTAGATGAATAATAATTAAGCTGGAACAAGTCCGTGTAAACGTGGTCGTTGAGTATGATTACCCGACGGTTTTATTTCGGTTATGATTTTACCAAAAGATAACCCTCGGTTAACTTACGAAATTACATGCCTAATTCGAAATTTCATCCGAGTTCTCTGAAACCTCGGAAGCTTCAGTGTCTTCGGAGGATGATGACTCTGCAGCATCTGCAACCTCATCGTAGGAAACTTCGGTGTCTTCGGACACGGATAATTCTGCAGCATCTGCGACCTCATCGTTGGAAACTTCGGAGGCTTCAATCTCTTCGGAGACGGATGACTTTGCAGCATCAGCGACCTGATCGAAGCCTTCACTCTCTTCGGAGGAGTCAATTGCTTTAGGAGTTAAATGTATCTAGAACATCTGTGAGTCAATTTGGGACAGTTTCGGAGAATCCGCTCTCTTTGCTTTCTTCGCCCTCTGCACTTGCTTCGCAGATAGGGTCGAATACGTTCCGTATGCAGAATTCCATTTTTTTAATAACTATGAAACGTTCAGCTCCAAGTATTTCAAAGACATTGTTGACTGAGCAATTAGATTTATTGATATCAAGAGTGGGGCAATGAGTGTGGTATGTTAAAAAAATGCTGGCTACGTCGATACTTTGGATTCGCTAGTTTCCGAGAGAGTTGAAGCGATGCTCTGATGCTGAAAAGATTGTTATTAATTTTAATATTGTTACCGCGAATTAAAATATTTTTATCATAATAATGCATATTTCATCTTTGATTAATTGTCATTTAAATGGAATTGAAGTCTTACGATGCTTTGGCATTTTCCAGCATTTTTGGATTCCAATTGGCATTCGAAAGCAGAGGACAGTGCATTATGAATTTCAGCTATGATGCTGTTTGTCTCTTTGATAAATTGGTTCGAGTATTTACCTTCAGTCTTAATTACTGAGTTTATGCAATTTGTGGTTTCAGAGACCATTTTGCGAGGATTCTCCTCAAAAATAATAACACGAACAACGCAACTCCATTCCTTTTTTTTCTTACGAGGGAGCTAAATGAGTTTCGAACTATTACTCTATCCTGTTAGATAATTAAGATCATTAAGTAATATGAATGGAGGTGTAGTTGGCAGATCATTTACACAAAATGATATGTTACGTACATCGTTGATGATTAAATCGACAATTGTATGCACATTATTGACTATTCTCTTGACAGCAGTTTTACGATTGTTGACAAGAAATTTTAGTTTATCTAGAGATTCTTCTACAGCTTTCTTGACCCGTTCTAATGTGTTGCTTAATATAGATTCTATATCATTTTGGGTTTTACCGATAGCCGTTTGTAATCCAGAAAGAGTGAATGCCTGGCTTGTCTAAAAATTATAACATTGAAAAAATACATTAGTTGGTCACAGTTACATATTTATGCAAGATTTGAAACTTACGACCATTCGCCAATATTATGCTAAACAAGTGGCAGTTAAAATTAGGATATATTGAAATTTCTGGTTACTGATACTTACGCAGGCTAGGAAAAGAACGCAAGCAAAAACTGCTAGTTTTGTCATTTTGATGCCGCAATTGTAACACTGACGGAACTATATTTTCATGAAGAATATGGCCTTTATATATACTTTAATTCGTGGTATCGCTATTAATATTTGTCGAAATTCGACACCATTTGTGTCAACCTTGTATGGCGACTATGATTGTGATTTTCTCGACTGTGCAAAGTAATTTATTATAATGTCATATGGAAGTTGTAATTATTGCTTTTAATTAATCCTTCCTAGTTGCTTTTGGTATTTTTGCGTGCAAAATTCTCGAAAATTTGACCCAGTAGGCAACGTGTGTATATCAAATGTGCCAATATTAATTTACTAACTGAACGTTTTGTATTTATACAGCTACTTTCTTCAGTTATAGCAGCATTCCACACGTGTTCAAGCACACTGACTTACCACATTAGTTATTTATAGCCGTAATTTTGTTCCCAAAAAAAATTTGTTGTAAAAAGTTCACTAAATATAGAATGTCTGTGAGTTCCTCTTTTGAAAAAAAAAACTTAATATCTATATCTTACATTATTGATCAACGTACAAAAAATATTGTGATCATATCATGATGTCCAGTACATAAGTCACTACATAACTACTTATTATACGATATGGCAATATTATTGAAATAATTTCAATTGTTTTGCAGAATTTTCAGATACGTTTTTCTAGTCTTGTATGTTATTTCTTTTACTTTTACTTAATTATGATTTAATTGTCATTTAATAATTTCTACAATGTTCAGTGAATCCTTATAGAGTATTACTTGCCGAATTCGTATTCAAAAAGGTATCAAGTATTCGATATTAATAATTTGGACACCTCTGTGAAATATTTTTGTAAATTAACGTGTATCCAGTTTTCCATTGATGCTCTTTAACGATTTTGTAAATTGACGAGTTTTTTTTTTGACTAAGTTAAGGTACTCATTTATTTTGTAGGTCAGAGTAATGTCTTTTTCTTCGTATTAGAAGTTGCTGTCCATTTGAATAATGTCTGTACTGTAAAGGAATTCTGTTTCTGATGATCGGTATTTCAGCAGATTGTTGAGTGAGTCAATATGCACAGCTAATTTGAAACTGGCGCTTCTCGACTTGATACTTCGACAACCGTGATGTTTTCTTGCTATACGTCGTGAACTGTATGTCTGGTGACGCATACTGATGTATAAAATCAAAATGTTCTTAGCAACTTGTGTCAAATCAACATTTCATATACCAGAAGAGAATTTTCTTTGCAGACAAGGTGGCTCGTAAATATGATTGCAGCTGATCAAATACGGATATGCTGATTTAATGTTTGAATCCTGTCTGTATTCATTTCGTTTGATGATACAAAGTACATTATCCCGGTTAGCAAAACATTTCTCACCTAATTATAGCATTTGATTGAGTCTAGAGTAGTAATTTTTTATAGTATAAGTGCGTAAAATTGGAGTTTACACACCCAGAATCGCGTTTAATCGTAACAGGATGTAAAACCTTAAGCATGCGTATCGAATACTATATTTTGATGCCCGATGCGTAAAGTATGTGTGAATCCGTACGTAAAAAGTAAAGAAGGATCGCGCAAGTGTATGGATGGGAAGTCGGGGGCGGGGTAAAAAGATAGTATTAAAAATACCATAAGAACGTTTTTATTTCAAATAATACTGTATCAAAATGTGATTTAATGATTCATAATTTAAGTTACAACAAAAATATTTAAAAAAGATATGTTAACTTTAATAATATGTTACAATAGTACATTATCATACAAGTGCGGGAATGTTATGATTCCCGCACACTCTGAACTCATCAGGAATGGACCATTTAGTATTGTCGTGAACTAGGCCCCCGCATTCTTTGCACCAGAGTTTAACTATAACAAGACGTTTGTACTCCTTCCATTGACGTTTGTTCTCGAGTTATATTCATTTGTACCAAACAGAATAGAAAATAGAGCTTTTTTCAAATGCGGGGGCCGGCTTCACGCTGGCCCCCGCAAAATTTTTTACCAATAGCTTAATTTAACATCACTATAGGTAGTGAAACGTTTGCACCAGCTTTATAACGTTTGTACCGTCAAAACATTTACTAGTTTTAAAGAAAAGGTAGCGGAGGATGAAGTTCAGCATTTGCGCGTCACATTAACGTCGTGGGCCAGCCTCTTAGACGTTTGTACCAGACTATTCTGTTGATCTGGTCACTTTAAGGGTACAATCATCTAAGAGACTAGCCCACGCCTTTGAAGTGACCACGATAGACTTTGTATTCAAGGCGACTCCGTCTTGAGCAAACTTGGAGGATCCATTTTTCCCTGAGGTGGGTAAAGCGGTTGCACGTACGGCCATGGGTACGATGGAGCCTTCATTTCACTTGGAGGTGGATATTGCTGCAACATATACGGCCATGGAACCGCTGGAACCGGATAATACACCAGCGTATACGGCCACGGAACGATTGAAGGCTTCATTATATTCGAAGATTCTGCAGTATCTAGGACCTCGTCTTCAGGAACCTCGGGAGTTTCTTCATTTTCAGAAAACTCAGATGCTTCATCGTCTTCCGAAACCTCAGAGGCTTTATCATCTTCGGAAACCGATGATTCTGCAGCACCTATGATCTCGTCCTTGGAAACTTCGGAGTCTTCATTGTCTTTAGTGACGGATGACTCGGCAGCATCTACAACCTCGTCCTCGGTAACTTTAAAGGTTTCATTATCTTTGGAAACCTCGGAAGCTTCAGTATCTTCAAAAGCGGATGATTCTGCAGCATCTTTGATCTCGTCCTCGGAAAACTCGGGGGTTTCTTTATTTTCAGAAACCTCAGATGCTTCATCGTCTTCCGAAACCTCAGAGGCTGCATTATCTTCAGAAACGAATGACTCGGCAGCATCTACGACCTCGTCCTCAGAAACCTCAGGGGCTTTATCTTCTTCGGTAACTGATGATTCTGCAGCACCTATGATCTCGTCCTTGGAAACTTCGGAGTCTTCATTGTCTTTAGTGACGGATGACTCGGCAGCATCTACGACCTCGTCCTCAGAAACCTCAGGGGCTTTATCTTCTTCGGTAACTGATGATTCTGCAGCACCTATGATCTCGTCCTTGGAAACTTCGGAGTCTTCATTGTCTTTAGTGACGGATGACTCGGCAGCATCTACGACCTCGTCCTCAGAAACCTCAGGGGCTTTATCTTCTTCGGAAATCGATGAGTCTGCGACATCTATGACCTCGTCCTCAGAAAGCTCGGAGGCTTCATTGTCTTTGGTGACGGATGACTCTGCAGCATTTGCGTTCTCGGTCCCGTAAATGTTGCCTAGTGTTTCTATAAATTGTATTAATTCGTCAATTGTGGTTCCAACCTGTTAACGTAAATGAAATTAAATAGTATGAATAGCATTCCAGACGATATATCATTAGACTATGAGATATGTTGCGTACATCACTGACTGTTGCATTTACGGTTGGCTGCACTTTCTGCTTTTCATTCTTGACAGCAGTTGCGTCACCTTCTTCAAGAGAATCTGGGGTCCCGACAGCTCCTTCTGCAACTTTCTCGAGCTGACTTAATGTATCCTTTGATGCAATGTCTGTATTACTTTCTCCCTTAGCAAGGGATAATTGTAATTTAGGTGGAGGCAATGCCTGGCTTGTCTGAAAATTGTAATATTTCGAAAATGCAGTAATTAATTACAATTGCATATTTATGAAAAAATTCGTATCTTATGACTTTTCACTCATTTCATATTAAGCATATTGCGCTGAAAAACAGTATTTGTTATTGCATGTTTGGTTACATATACTTACGCAGGCCAGGAGGAGAAAGCAGCTAAAAATTGTTAGTTTCGCCATGTTGAGACCGCAGCTGAGACAGACTAGGACTCATATTTCGTGAAAGATGTGGTCATTATATGTACCATCAGTCGTGGGGTTGCTATTAGAATCTGACGCAAATCATTACCATTTGTGTCAACTTTGTTAATGATTTTCCTATTCTTGATTTAACCGGGTGATGTAATGTAGTTTATGGAAGCGTCATATTTGCGATATTTATATAATCTTTTCAATTTGTTTCTGACATGTTTCTATATAATATTTGCGAACATTTTACGTAATAGGCAGTGTCTTAAGAGCATAAATGTTACTTTTACTTAAGTAACTGAATGTTCTTTTATTGATACTTAAATACTTTCTTGAATGATAACAGCATTCCACACGTTTTAACGGATTGACACTGGATATTCTGAAAATCGGTAAATTTAACGCGTTATTTACAGTCGCTAGAATTATTATTTTGATATTATTATTAAATACATTTTTCATGCGTACTGTGAAGATATGTCAAATAGCGCAATAAGTGCACCCCGTTGAACGTAAGCCCTAGTTGGCGTCATTTTTAGCCAAATTTATTTTCCAGTGTCGTTATTTATTCGTTAACTAAACACCTTACGTACTTTTTAATACTGCACTATTTATAAAGTTGTAAACTGAGATTGTTTTCTAATTCTACATTAATGCAAATTATCGCCAGAATTTTAGACGTAGAAGATTTTTAAGCAAGCTAATGAACAATAGTACTACGAATTTTACTGGTCAATTGTTAATTATAATATAACAGTAGAACAAAAATTATTTTGTATTTCATTTCGAATGTGGCATTATATACCGATGGGTTAAAACGACTAACGACTACAAAAATGAGATATTTTAACAGCAGCTGGTATAAATTTTATTATGTTATTTAAAACCCATTACAGTGATAATTACGTATTTATGGAAAATAGTATAATTTTTCATTGTCAATAATTTAATAAAGCTACGGATGAGAGTGAGAAGGTGAGAGTGGTGCGGATTAAATTTCTTTGATCTTTACATTTCATATAAAATTTCGATATGCGGATCAAATACGGTGGTAACTATCTTACTTTACGTTACTTTAGGGGAATACTGTACATACATACTTAATTCTTGGATCAATTTAGTGCCTATTCATAGCAATATAATGAGCGTTCAGTCACATAATTTGTTTTACAGTGAAAAAGTTTTAGCAGTTTATTGGTTATATCAAATTGACGTTTACATATTTTAATATGAATGATCATGAACGATGTAACGCAATTGATAAAAATATTAATATTTTCGATACATGTGTTTTAATGCAATATTGGTTATATTATTAAACACGACCGTATGGAAAATGTGGCTGTGCGTTATGCATTTCTGATCCAAAAAGGCCGATTTGCAGATTGCAAACACAAATCGTTATGCCTCAAGGCAAACTTCTTTTCCCTGATATTTTTCATACAGTTGACACTTTTTGAAGATACTGTTAATTCGAGTTTATTGAAACGTACCAAATAGATTTGTATGTTTTAGCAGTTTCTAAAACGTGTCCGAATGTTTTGTGCTGTATGGATAGTTTATTGTACATGATTGACGTTGACAAATTACATGTTATTAATAAATACTTGTAATATAATACTTATTTAATTAAACACTAACGATAAAACACTATAACAGAAAAGACACTACTAAGAGCTTTGCAACGTTCGAGCGATAATGCGCAATCGATGATAAGCGGATATAAAATAAAAGGAGTACAATATAGATAAACGCTTTTTAAAACAAATTACTAGATTTCGCCAACGCACGCACACTAGATCTAAGAGTATACTAACATGGAGAATCGTGGTGCCAACGCATGTAGGTACAATCACGTACCGTTAAACCGGCTGTAGCCAGGAAGATTCCAATATGTAACACCTCGTGTTCTTCAGTGGGATATTTTCTAGTGAGCTCCAATCCGCCAAAATAATCATGTGTTTAACCACTGGCCAATGGCCTATATACCTAAGACAGCGATGGAAATACAATTCTGATAGAGTAACGTTCTATTAAGCAACTTCTATATTATTTGGGATAAATACCTGTTGTTTCCGTATTCGATGATTACAGGCAAATAGAAAGAGCTAGACTCTTCCCTTTGTGAAGTTAGTAAAATTTGTGATAAGTGGGAGGGCACGAGGGTGCTGGCATCTAGAATCAATTCGGCGCGCAAATACAATTGTCGCGTTACATACTGTTAAATAATACACATTTATTTATGTTATAGGTAGTCTCCGATTGGCCAACTCTTTCTCTGCATTGGATGTAATAGGTGAGTTATTGAAATATACAATATCAATAAAGTCATCCAAGTAGAAATTTCCTAATCACTTTCTCGATAACGAAAAGCTCTCGGCCGGGCTGATACTGGGCATTCACAATAATGGAAATCTAGTTAGTACACAATGTGGCGAGCATGGGCGTGCATATATTGATTAAGAATTATATTTTTATAAAAATTTTGCGAAACCTGCGGTATTCGTATACAAGGTGTTCCATTTTAAATGATTCATTACAATATCTGACGAACTCAGGGTTTAATCGAAAAAAGTTTCCTATATAAGTGGCATGGTTTAAAGGAGTAGAGTGACTGTCCGCATGTTCACCAACATAATTAACAGCAAATATAAAAATGGGCTCTAGGGGTACAAGATATACAAGAAATCAGACAAACGAAAGTTCAAGATACAAAAAGATGGATAGCATAGCGAAATGAGTAATGCAATAAAATATCAGAGAAATAAAAAGTACAGGATGGTAGAAATAGAAAGATAAGAAAGTCTAATAAATTACTGATACTCGGAATAAATGATACTCGGCTGCGTAAAAGCTTGGGAAGTATGAACAGTAAAGAAAAAAGTTGGCGCATACGTATATTTGAAATACACTATTTTCCGCACGTGGCTTGTTCGGCGCATGCCCACTTCGATTTAACTCAATTTTGCAGACTGTCAGTTGCGCCATCGGACGATTTTACTCCATTCGCCTGCTTCGCAAATTAAACTTTCCTTTACAAGGACTACGAAAAAAAATCGTGTATGGCAAATTCGGATAGGCGATATCTGACTGGTGTGGTCGGATATTACCTACTTTCCGCACAATACAATATACTATTGTTTTAATCACTGCATCCGAATGAGAAAAAAATTCATTTTTAAGGACATCTCCTTTTGTAAACATTGCTAGAACTAGCATCATTTCTTTTTTATGTCAGCTGCACGTACTCATTAATCTTCATAAATCATCCCATAAGTAATTATTCACGTTAGTGTAGCTCATCGAACTCCATAGAGAAGTTAGACGAACTAATTGACATAACTGACTATAATGATGAAAGTAAAAATAAATAAATTTAGTGTAGCAGTTTGTAGTTAAAATTAGACAAGCGAACAATAAACGACTTTGTTAACAACTCGAGTTTTATTTATGTGTCACAGCCATCATCATCGTGGTTATCCCTTTCTAAGACTTCATCCAAGACACTTTCAGAGTTGCTAAACCGGTGGTATACAAATTCTAATCAGTCAATCATTAGACATGCGTTACAATAACATGAATATAAGTAAAACTCGCTATATATAAGTATCTCGCTGATCACGTCTAAGTTAATGATCTTTGCTAATATGAGATCATTCCATAGCAATACAGCTCTTCATGTACCAGTTCCTTGTCCCCAATCATCGTTTGCCATTTCAGCGTCTGTAAATTTCTTTATCCAGGACGAGGATGATCATTCAGATGGCTAAATATTTATTACCT